TTAAGGCAAACTTTGCTTGAATAATTACGAAATTTAGTTGTTACACCTATAGATGTTTGGCTTTAGATAGTACCGCTTTTACAACAAATAGTAAAGCAAAAATTAGTTTTATGCGAAGAACGAATGCTGAAGTATTGTAGCCAGATAAATGGTAAGAGCAATCAGTGAAAATGGAAAAGCAATAATAATTCGAAATCGAAACTGAAACACGAATAAATCTAATGGGAATTGAAGCTGGAACATCTAATATAACGGAAATATAAGTATGAAAATATAAAATAAGTGATATAACAGAAATAAATAGATCTGTTGTTGTGGTTTTCCAGTTATGTAATATTGGTAACTTTTCCAAGGATGTAAATATAAGGTATAAAAATATAAAATAAGTAATATAACAGGAATATATATATAGGTTAGTTTTTGCGGTTTTCCAGCTATTTAATTGACAACTTTTCCTGTTGCTTTGACCAATGCTGCATCTTCAACTTGTTGCCCGATCCTTACGTCCGTTTCGTCTCCTAGTAAAAAATTGTTACCAGCTCAACGGTTTTCTCCACATATGCTTAAAAAGGCCTTAAAATTTTAAGATATCTGTAATATTTATAAAACTGTCACCATCTTGTTCTAAACTTTGCTCCTTTCCTGAGCTGCTGACATTGGATCTTCCACACCGATTGTCCAGAAAGTCGCCAGTTCATTCTTGAAAGCTTTGGCGGAAAAATCGCTAGCTCAGGAACCATAAAAGCTAGAAGGCTGAAATTTTGAGGTTGTGTTCCCTGTCCACACAGAACTCAAAGATTTCAAATTTAGCCCCCAGATTTGCGTGTTTCCCGCGTATGGCCCAGTGGTAACTTGAAGGCATTTCCGGCTTAAGTAGTTAAATTGAGGAAATATTTTTTGATTTTCCAATGATTATTGCTTCTTTAAAGGCATCGCTAATGTCGACAATTGTGAATTTGGCACAAGATTTTGTTGGCTCAAACAATATCAATCTTTTGCTACCAATTGGCCAGTTTGGTACGCGTTTGCAAGGTGGAAAAGATAGTGCCAGTCCACGTTACATTTTCACGCAGCTCAAGTAAGACACAAACGACAAAATGTTGTAGAAATTTTAAAGATACAAACACAGTGAATATTTCTGGCTAGGAGACTGGAAGAGGTCGAGGGCCTGAAATCTTTTATAAACTTTGGTTTTGAGTACGATGTTTTCTTTTTTTTATCCTTCCCTGCAATTTTTACTGAGTTTTTATAATTGTTCTTTGGTATTCATTCTCACATGAATCGGTGCTGCTGCTTTTGCTAGAATTATCAATCAGAAATGACTATTTTTTTTTTTTTGCTTTCAGCCCAGTAACAAAAGCGCTATTCCCAGCAATCGATGAAAATGTCCTGCATTTTCTTTTCGAAGAAAACCAAAAAATAGAACCCGAATGGTATTTATTTTATTTTTTTTTTAAATATTTAATTTGCCAAAGTTTTATTGACAGGCTGACTTTGTACTTTGGCATGTTGGAAAAATTTCCAGTGTTTTTGTTTTGAATGATTGCGAATGTTGAATCTATATCGCTTAATTCGATAATTTAAAACCAGTGCTACGGGAAGGAGAGGGGGGGGGAGGGGAAAGGGTGTTGGGTTTGAAAAGTTTATCGGCTTTAAAAAATTCATCATCTCTCTCCCTCCTCCGCCCTCGTAATTTCCCTACTTGTACTCAGAGAACTTACCTGAAATGGCAGAATGAAAGGATTGGTCTTAAGCGTCATGTACCCGAAGGACATTTTACGATGTAGTTAGTCAATGTTTCATCCCTTAGCTGTAAACAAATCCGTTACTAACTCTAAATAAACAACAACAAAAAAAAAAAAAAAAAA